GTTGTCTTTAAACAATTGAGGAGCTGGGGAGGGAATGTGACCCTTTAGCTTTCTTTCAAGAGATCAGTGAGGTTCCCTTTGAAAAGCAAGAGTGGCATATAAACACTGTTGTACCTGTAGTAAAACTGATTATACCTAGGGAAATCTTATGTAGCAATGTATGCATGTAACAATGTTGTCCTATAGCACAGAATCAAGCAAGATTCAGTGATTTTTTCCCCAGATATAGAACATGTCTTTTAGATCTCCAGGCTGTCAGATCTCATTTTTCCCCCCTCTCTGCGAGACTTTGAAAATTCCATGTGAATCATTTAGCAGTCAAAAAAAGTCTAGCTCTCAAGATTTCACTCTTCTTCAATTATGGTACATATTCTTATTTTTCTATAGTGAATTCCTTGTCCTACAGACTCTTCCCCCCCCCCCCCCCCCCCCCCCCCCCCCCCCAAGAAAGCTTTGCACATCCTGAGATATGGTGGTTGGATAATGCACGATTAGGGAAGGCTGAATCTGTACACCTAGGGATTCTTTTATAGTGCCTATATTTTTTCATAAAACCCAGGCAATGATGCTTTTTCTTCTTGAAAGCATGTTTTCCTTCTATTTGAACAACATTTTGCTTCCAGCTATTCTAGACTTAGTTAGAATGGTCAGAGTTTTTAAATTCAGAAGGTAAACATGAAAAAAGCATAGCACTTATAAAAAAACTTGACAAATGTCAGAAGCATATTCTTTACTCTGATTTTACATTACTCTCTTCCCATTAGTACATTAATCCTATATTAATTGGTTATCAAAAGGCCTCTTAGATGAATCTGAACTTTTTTTAAAAAAAAAAAAAGACTATGTCACTATCAGAAAAAAAAAAACCTTTATCAGGCCTCTTTAGTGGTCGCAAGGCATGTGAGAATTTCTTAAATTTCCAGATCTCTCCACTGGGTATGTTATAATGAAAAATAAATGGGGGGGGGAATCTGGTTTAATATTGAAATCATGAACCTTATCTGATCACATACTAAATGGAATGGGAGGATGACATGCATATTAAAATTACAGTTTGTGAGGTTGTTAGTTAGTGTCTCAATTGAATTTAGGATTTTGCCTCAGGTTGCCAGGATAAGGAAACAATCATTGGCTGGTTCTCTTATGATGAATTAGATAAAATCCAGCAGAACTGTCTCTAAAATCAGGTGAAAATATAGATTATTTAATAGATTGTTTAGAATTAATTAATTGTTTATTTACACTGTGCTGATTTATACACAAGGAGTCAACTCATTAGCATGTTAGGACAGAAGAAAGGATCATGGCATGCACAATGTTTTGCAATAATAATGAGCAATATTTCTGTCTTTTGTGGCCTCATGGATTATTTTAGAGAGAGAAAAAAACCTCAATTTACTAATTTTCAAGGTATATGTAATTTAGAGCATGGGATCTTTTTAATCACTTCAAATTACACTTAAGACCACTACTTTTATGCTGTGAAGGATAATTATATTCTTAAAACAGTTTCTATTTTTAAAAAAATTGTAGCAAAACGTGTTATGTCAATAGATCCAAAGGTTATTGTAACTTTGAAGGTTTACAAAGTAAAAATATTTCCTATCTGATTTTTTTTGTGCAGAATGTAAAGGATTCAGCTCTTTCAGGTGTGGACTGCATAAGTCACTCAAGGAGAATAACCCTAGGACAATTTATAGTAGCACAGTGGAGCTAATATGGGAGCACTGGCTCTGAAACTGACATAATTCATTTCAGAAGATTGACCCTAGGGCAATTAATGGTAGCAAGCAGAGAAAATTCAAGAGCTTTTTGAATACCAATCTGGGCCTTGTAGTAAATACAACAGGAAGGGATGGGGGGAAAAAGCCCTGGCTAGACAATAAGGATATGGGTGTGTTACAGTTGTTTCACATATGCAAAGCTGCAATTATTTTGTATCTATAATATATATACCAGTAAACACATAGTATCTTTAATTTTAAGACATATAAGATGGCTTTAAAACCAAAATATTCTTGCAACAGTTCATACTACCCATGTTTTATCTTTTAAGATTTTGTGTATGACTTAGTGTCCTTTTATGTTTTTTTTTTATGGGATGGAAATAGACCAAGTAAATCCTGCATTATGTCATACTATTTGTGAACATCTCACTTGTCCTTTTTTTTTTTTTTTTACAACATCTACGATGACATCAGTGACCTGAAGCTTTCCACATCATTGTCTATCAGGATAGAGCAAACATAGAAAAGCAAGGTGAAAGCGAGGACAATCTGATTCCTATTCCAGATAGTATAGGCAAAGGGGGAAAATGGTTTAACACCAGAGGTAGTATTCAGCAGGTTCTGACCAGTTCTGGAGAACCGGTAGCGGAAATTTTGAGTAGTTCAGAGAACCGGCAAATACCACCTCTGACTGGCCCTGCCCCCATCTATTCTCTGCCTCCTGAGGCTCAGCTGATCGGCTGGGTCTTCTTTTGTTGCCCTGCACAGGAAAAAAGAGCTGGAAAGCAGGTTAGTGGGGTGAGGAGGGAATGGCTGGTTCTCTTATGATGAATTAGATAAAATCCAGCAGTTAGATAAAATCCCCTGCCATGCCCACCGCCACGCTTACCAAGCTATGCCACGCCCACCAAGCCACGCCCAGAGAAGTAAAAAATTTTTAATCCCACCACTGTTTAACACGTGGTGATCCATTTTGAAACAATAGCCAAAAGGCTGGGGTGGGGTAAAAATGCATGGGTCAGATCCATGCCCTGATACAAGCTTGCCATGTGTTATGGTTATTCAACATGGACTAGAAGATACAATTATATTGTACTTATGGTCTGATCATAGGGTGTCTGTATTGTAACATACATTGCATACTTAAAGCCAGACGTTTTGAAACTAATTATGCAACCAGTTGTTGTGAAAGCCCACTCTCTCCAGTCTCTTACATTTGCACCTCAGCATCGTGGTATTTAGACTTTATCCATGCGAAAAACTAATCATGTTCAGTTTATGAATATTCAGACTAGTAAATAACTACCTCACAAAGTTATTTGATTAAGTGGGGGGACATTATGCTTTGAAATTCTTACTAGAAACATGAAACAGTAACCATACAGAATATTTATAATTAATAGACAATATAATCTTGGCATGTCTGGTATCAATAAATATTGTTAATTTAAAGTGGAATGGGCAGACTTCAGGCTTATTGAATCAAAGAATCAAGAATAACTAATGAGAATGAAACAAAATGCTTACATAACACATTAAATAACATTACTATTCTAAGATTCATCCTCATGTCAGAATTGAACTGTGCTTGCATTTCTTCACACAAAAATCCATTCCTGGTGAACTCAAACTTTCTTCATTTCAATATCTGAGCAGTGAAATGCCCAAAGTTCTAATTATATAACATTCATAAGTGGTTTCCAATATATTGCAGATAAATGAAACACACCTTTTGCTTTACTGATTTAATGTGTAAATCTCTTTCTTCTGTAACATACTGTATTTAAAAGTGTGATCCGTGCAGGTTATTGCAGGGCAACAGTTCTACACTTGTCATCCCATGAGGTGTGTGAAATCAGATGTGTGAATCAATCCAGAGACCTAGCAGTTTTAAAAACATCCAGTTTTCAGACCACTGTTGCACTCTCTGAAATGGAGTTTGTGTTTGTGCTGAAGTGAGAGAAATTCTATCTCTGAAAGAATTTAGTGAGGAAATAAACAAGGTCCGCCCCTTCACAGTATTTTGGGAAAAGTACCCTTTCCTCAAATTATTTACAAGCTTTATTGATCTTGCACCGATATACATATTTGCACACTGATAGGAAGGAGGAAAAGGAAGGAAGGAGCGAGCCTAGGGCTTTGCGAGGGTCGTTGTTATATTTGTATAATTTTCTTCTCTTGACCTCCCTCAATGCTGCACGTGGGCAACTTGCTCAAGCCCCCTCTCGCTACCCCCCCAACGTAAAATACACGATCGCAGGCGGCCCGAATCGTCAGAGTGAAGAATGGCGGACGGGCTTGACATTTTGAACCTGCTGGCGGATACTCATCCGCGCCCGATTAGAGCTTCGCGACTCGAACTTTCAAAGCTTCCCGCCGCCTTCGCCTCTCCCGCGGCGTTCGCTTAACCTCCCTCCCTTTCCGAACTCCGCTCTCGCCGCTTCCGTTCGGCAAACGCTGTCCTCTCGGATTGCGAGGACTAATCCGGGCAGGGAAGGGCGGGCTGGGGTGGAACGGGCAAGAGAAGGAAGCCGGCGACTAAAGTTTGAAGGAGCCCGGCGCTCGCTGCCCATCCGCCCGCTCCTTGTGCACGGGAACGGAGAGGGCCGGCGAAGCGAACGGCCGCGGCGTCTGCGAGTCTGCAGCGTCGCGACCGGTTGGAAGGGATCCCGGCGGTCAAGCAGCCTTTCCAGTTGGGACCCTGAGATGCGCTCTCGCTTCGAGGCTGCCCCCAAAGCTTGCGGTTGCCATTGGCTGAAGGGAACCAGCGTCTCCTGCTGCCGCCGCTACCTCCAGACCGGCTCAAGCTTACACCGACGCCGGTCCCCCCTCCCTTCTCTCTTTCCTCGGATCCGTGTGCGTTCCTCTCTCTTTCTCCCATTCCAGCCCACCTTCTTTTCCCTCTTTCCACCCCCCCTCCCAACCCAAGCGGTGCCGCCGCAAGCAAGCTGAAATGGACTGGAAAATGGCCAGTGGTGGCAGATCGAGCTTTTAGATTATCCGTTTCACGTTTGGTACTTTAAGCTGCCTTTAATCTGTTTTTATTTGCCAGAACTCCTAGTTTTGGCGGGAGAAGGAAGGGAGAAAAGGGACGGGTGTGTGTGTATGTGGGGGGGAAGCGGGCTAGAGGGAGCGGGGGGGGGGGCGGTTTGGGAAGAAAAGCTGCCGCTGTCGCCGTTTCTCTCCACGATAATATGTTTATATGATTAGCTGAGCCCAGGGGTGGGTAGAAGAGAAAGGGAGAGAGGGGGTGGAGATTGGAAGAGGTGGAGGCTGGAGGTGGCTCCAGTTCAGAGCTAGTGGAGAGTCTGTGTCAGGACTTCGCAATCCCCAGTCACACGCCGAGAGGTGCCTGAACGAAAAGGAGCTGGCGGTACTATTCATTGGGTTCCCCCCACACCCTTTCCATTCCTTGCTTCTTTGGGGGCGATTTCATGCCCGGGCTCTCTTTCTCCCCTTGGTTTTAAGCGCGGCCAGTTGGGGCTCTTGATCTCTTGCTCTTCACGGGGCAGGCAGGCATCAGCAGAGCATCCGAGGAAGACGCGAAGCCCGAGGAAGGAAAGGGCTGGAACTGGATCCTGCCAGAGGCCAGAATGTCATCAAGGGTGATGCAAAGAAGATGGAAGAAAAGGACGGAGTAAGAGAGCCTGCCTTCTTAGAAGAAAATATTTGATTTTTTTTCTTTTTCTTTTAATGCCTGGGTCTCTCTGCGCATTGCAATTGCATCCCCCCTCTTCTCGCCTTCGCCTCCTCCCTGAAGAAAAGAAATCGAAGATCGAATTGATTCTCCTGTTGGCATCGTGCTTTTGTTTTTCCGTTTTTCTTTTCTTTTCTTTTTAAACAATCGTTCCAGTTGCTCAAAGAAAAGAGAAATATAGGACTCCGGGGCTGGTCATATCCAGTGGGTTTTGCACCTAGCTCTCTTTTGTTGTGGTGCTTTTAGAGTACCGGAAGAATTGTTTCGATTTTCCTTTCTGGCTTGTGCCGTTTCTTTCCTCCTCTCCCCAATTTGTCTTCCTCCCTCTTTTTTGGGGGGGAGGGAGGGACAGAAAGAGCAGCGCGCGTTGGGAACTGCGGGGGAAAAATGTTGACTTAACCCCTCCAAAAGCCCCTCGGCTGGCTGGGTTTGCTTGGAGAAAGGGAGAGAAGGACGAAGAAGAGGAGAAGCCGCTGCCTTTTGTACGTTTTTGTGTGTGTGTGTGTGTCCCAGCTCAGCGAGCTGCGAAGCCAGCTGTTTCCCCGGCTTTCTGTACTTCTACCCAGCCCGGCTCTTTTGCCTGACCGGCGACCCTTCTGCGCGATCTGGCTTTCTTCAGTTGCTGCCGCTTCCCAGGCCCAACCCTCGTGATCGTGAAGGGACTCATCCTGCACCTCCTTTCTGGGGCACCCAGATGCCAGAGAAACCCTGGCTCGCAATTGGCTGCAAATTCAAAGGTAAGCGAGGTTGGTCGAAGTGGGGGGGGGGGGATGAGCTTTTCTGTACTTACGGTACCTGTTTGCTCCTGGTTTGCGAGGCATTTGCACGCGAGGGGGCGGCTTCGTGGGAGAACGGGGTGCGCGTCCCTAGTCCTTTGTTTTCCCTGCGGGGCGGGGGGAGGGAAAGGGAACCCCGCCAATACACCCGTGAGATGCCAGGAGAGTCTTTCCTGTCCCACTCTTTTCTTATTCGCATTCATTCCAACATTTCTATTTTACCCTTAAAAACATAAATGAGAGTATTATTTATTAACCAGTGAAGAAGTGAGAACTGGACGTGAGGCCCATGGAGTGGAGTGTGGAGTGGAAGGAGGATTGTGATGGCCACTTCTTCCAATTAATCTACCGCCTTCCTTCTTCTGGCAAAGAAACCAGTGATTGCCAGTGGGGCTTCCCAAGAGCCGTGAAACAAGGGACAGGGAAAGAAGGGTGACCTAAAAATGCAATTAGTTGTGAACTAAGATAAGTGGATGTGGCACTCCACAGGATCAAGGCATCTTGGAGAAAAGACTTAAAAGGAAAGCCAGGTAGATCAGATTCAAGCCAAGGGAGCTGCCCTGGGAGAAGAAGGCATTGGTACCCTTAGCAACAAGGCTCTTTTCAGAGAATTTAGGTTTTGGAAAAGCACCTTTAATGTGGGGGTGATTGTTCTTGTTATGCCTGTTCTTGTGGGTGGCTGGCATCAGACCCTGGATTGGTTGGATGGGTTCAAGGAGAGGGATCTCTCTAAACTTTGCCCAACTCTAACCCATTTGATCTGGCGGCAGCGTTTACCATCAATTTTGATGGAACTTTATTTTTTTTCCTGCTGCATAACTGTCAGCTTGTTAGAGCTATTCATGAGGCCCTGTGATACTTCCCTGTCAGGAGGCATGAGGTTTTAAACAACTGATTTTAAACAACTTCAGTTGCAAAGAAGCCTGCCAAAGTGAGCTGGGGCTAACGCTAAACAAGAAATGTATGGAAGGAGGAGGGGTGGGGACAGACCATTCCAGCCATCCTCCTCTAACTGTTTTAAGTTCTTATTTCACCATGGAAAGAGATTAGTGCTTGTGTGAGTGTAAGAAAGTTCCTTGGGTGATCTTTCTTGCTTCAGAGATGGAAGAAAAAGCTTTCAAAAGCAGCCTTACAAGTTTTATAGTAACAGCAAGAGCCATCTGGATCCTGTTACTGTAAGAGATTTTTCTCCTCTCTGTTTTTGGTTTGCTCCTCCAACATTCTTTAGTGGAAGCACAGATTCCCTGACTGAGAGAGATTCTTGTAGAGGAAACTGCCTGGCAGTTGATTTCATTAATCTGGCTGCATGAATGCCTAAGCAGGCCCTGCCTGCTCTTGTTCCTCCTTGTATTTCAGTGGCATATCGAAAGGGAAAAGTTGCACTCCCTGAATAGAGAGATCCACTTGTTGCACACACATTTTCATCTATCACACAAGGAAGCAAAAGGGACCTAGCTGTGCTTTGCGTGTCTCCTAGAAAGGCTTCCACTTAGCAATAAATAACAGTTTTTTTCCCCCCATTGTGGCCTAAAGACTGGTTTCTTCTTTGCTTGTGGAAAGAAGTCTAGGGCCACCTGGAGACAATGCAAAGAAAGTGTGTGTGTGTGTGTGTGGAGTGCTGGAAATGCCTGAAAGGATATTTGTTTTTCTTTTTTTCTTTTTAGCATTAGAATATCAAAAAGAAAAGTCACAATGAAATTTAAGGGAAGGTGATAATGGATATAGGAAAAAACCTCTTACCTTTTCAGAGGCTTTCAGATACGGGAAGATTTCTTGCTTGCCCATATATTGGAGATGATAACTGCTTCTGATAATACTAGTGATAGTTATTAGATGCACATATAATTGGTATGGCAAAAAAGGAAAAATAGCTTATTTGGGGCTTTAGGTGTGTTTTTCTTTTCCTTCAAAAAATATTGTCCTTGTTAGAAAGAATCCTGCAGAACAAATCCTCTCTTGTTTGGTTTCTTCAGATACTCAGATTCCTTCCCTTTTGTTACTTGCTACTAAAAGAGGTGCCATTTCACATCATTCTGCACAAATTGTTTGAATTAATGCGAGTGTGAATTCTTACCCTTTGAAGGATCCCATTAGCATATCAAAGGTTTCTTAGCTTTCAGCTCAATTGAGAAAACTTCAGTCTGTCTTCCATTTGCTTCCAAAGCAGAGGCCCAAAGGGCAGTGAGGAATTGAAAAGGGGTAAAAAGGGGAGGTAGAATTGGGTTATATTTCTGAACTTTTACCGTTTTGTAATTATGCCAGGAAAGAACATAGTCTGTATGCTGCTGGCCCTTGTAAGCAGCCAAACAATTATATTCCATTGATTAATGGTTTATACTAAGAAAAAAGAGTGACCTTTTTCATGGCAGCCACAGTTGCATAGTTTCTGGTATCTGCTAGTTATTTTGTTTGTGAGATTTGTGAGGCCTTTTCTTTCTGGCTCATCCTTGGATATAGTCTACATATCAGTGCATTTGGGGGGTGGGGGAAATGGGAAAAAACTTCTAATTACTTAAAACACATCCACACAAATCAGTCTTTGAAATAAAAGACCATTCTGTTCACAGCCTTTGAAAATGAGCACATATTTCTTTCAGTACAGCTTCTAGGAAATGCATTGTTTTTCCATAGAATGTTATTTTCTAAATAACAGAATGTTATTTTCAAAACTATGTCTTGGGTAAATTTATTGACAAATCTTCCAAGAAAATAAGAATACTTAGGTGCTTTTTTTTTATTAATGATGACAAAGATAACCAATATATGGATAAGTTACTGATATGTGCTGGGGTGTTTTGTTTTTTGCTGTTGTTATTGCCATTCTCAAAAATTGTGAAAGTAGTGTAATCAATATTCTTCAAATAGTTATAGCAAAGACTGATTGTTTCATCTGCTTACAGAATATTTGCAAATTATCTTTTAAGATGCTGTTGCATCTGCACCCTTTTATTCATATGTTGTAATACTGATTATCCTGTGTTAGTAAAAGAGATAGCTCATTTTACTCTTTCATTATCTTTAAAAATCAATATTCACAATCTGGCAGACATGGAGAGAAGCAGAACGCGGTACTTCTTCAGTACATCATTCATAGGAAATCAGAGTTTAGAAGATATATTAGGCTTCACGAAAATAACTTTCCTGTCATCTCTAAGTTCGCTCACACTTATTTTTATTTCTCCAGTTTATCAAGTCTTTACTTTGATATGACTTCTGATGCTCAATTTTAAATGCAATTGTTTTATAATAAGACAGTTCTGATATTCAGAATTGTTCATTAACAAAAAAGGTTATCTAGAAGTAAAATGGGGAAAAAAATCTAATGTTTGAGGACTTCTGCTGTTGTGAAATTGTCAAAAGCTTTCATGATTGTATAGGGTCTTTTAGGATAATGTGAAATTATATAAGGATAGTTTCTTAAAGTTGCCTTTTTTCCTGAATTAGTCCCTATTTGGAGGGTATATATTGAGGCAGTTTTCATTAGGAAACTTACATTGCTTTTAACTTTTCTGCTTTGGATACAGAGTGCTATGGAGGAGATAGATTATCCTGCAGAGCTAATAGAGATAATCTAAAAATTATCTTATTATTTTGACACATTGGATTTGATTTTGATATTTGACAATTTCAAACGCTGGATAATGTCACAGAATGAAAACTTTCAGCATTTTGTAAGATGAGGCCACTTAGAAATTAATGTGCCACAGCAGTGTTTTAAGCTGCCATTTTTAATCATAGTGGATTATGTTCTGTTGGCAATAGAAATTGTACATATATTTTAGGTTGCTCTGGAGGTTAGCGATGGAGAAATCAACTTATTGCATCAATATGGAGTAGAACCAACCAATTATTTAAGGTTTTGATTTGAGAGATTCCACTAAAACATTCATTCAATCATTCCTCCTCTCTTTCTCCCTCACATGCATGTACATATATTTACATATTTAGCTTCCATATTCATTAACAGAACATCAAAGCAAATAGCCCATTTTGTGAATAGCAGTCTTGCAAGTTGTATTCCAAGTCTTAATTTAAGACAACAAGGAGAGCTTCTGTGTATCCTTCCTTCAAATAAACAGAGTAAAGTATTTTTAAAAAGTAAATCTGCCTGGCAGTCAGTCCATAATTTGTACCTCAGAATATGGCTTCATGTTTCCTATGTCAGGAATGAAAATACTAAAAAGGGGTACCTAAGATGTACTAAGAAAAGTATGCTGAAATGAAAGTAAAAGTATGTATGAATGTACATATGTATGTATGTATATGTGTATGTACATATATATATATATATATATATATATATATATATATATATATATATATATATATATA